AATGGGTGTAGTTAGGCATTGTATGATGTATGCTGGTAGCAAACACATTTGTATTGACCCCACCTTCTGTATGGTCTCCTTATGGTGTATTTGTTGTATAAGAACCAAAGACCATAATAGGCACTTATATCTGTATCAGGCATCCTGGTTGTAGCCGTATTGGTCTAGAGGAAAAGGCAACGAGGACTTGTAGTAGAGATGATATCTTTTATTAGACCAACAAGATTTTTGCAAAACAACCCAAACAAACAAGCAAAAAAAAAAGCTTGCAATTAAAGAAATGTATTTTGCAAACATTTTGTAGGTCTAATAAGAGATATCATCTCTACTACAAGTCCTGATTGCCTTATATCTGTATGGCACTTCTGACAATTTCCTATTTAACATTTTCAAATGTTATATGGGAAATGACTATTCTGCTCTTCCCAATGCTTCTGCATGCAGTCAAATCCTGCTTGACTTTCTTAGATATAGTTTTAGTAACTTGAGTGGCCCACAATAAATTCATCTCTTCCCTGTGACCTCAGATTTACATGTTCACTTAACTTCACAAACTCTGAGAAGTTCCACTGATTGCTTCCCATGTATTAAGATAAGCAGATATATAAGCCTCAGCAAGACTGACATTTTTCTGACCATCCTTTAGCCTGTTACTCCTTAATTATGATTACTTTAATTTAAATGTTTTTATTAAAAAATAACATTCAAGTTATTTTCTTGGACTTTTATTATATATGGGTTTAGCTTGTTTGTTAATGCTTGTTTTTCTCTATTAAAATGTAAAGTAAAGCTTTTAATATCACTGCTTACAATAGGCTTTAATGTGTTGTTTCTGATCTAAATTAGTTGCAAACTTTATACTTACAAGTTTATTAAAATGAATTGGTATAGCATTATTGAAAAAAGGATTCATATTTTAGCATGTGAATTTCTTAGCATTTAGTTCAAATCTAATTTTAAATGTCTTTGATTTTTTGGGTTTTTTTCCCTTTTTATAAACTGCAAAAATCTACTAGCTTTCATTGCATCAGCTTATTTTATCCTAATATTTATGAAGTAGAAATTGAGCCTAAGTTTTGGTCTGACTAATCGGACCTCCATTTTTGCATTTGTAAACTCAGGGTTCATTTTAGTTAAGTGACCTCATTACATATTAGATTAACAAATGAGGAGTTGATTTCTATGTTCTTACCTCTGATGCCCTTTCATATTGTTTTGTACCTTATTGCATAATTATTGCCAGAAAATTCAGTGATACTCCTCAAGTTACTCATCAACTTGATCTAGATTATAGCCTAAATATTCTATGTTCAAAAAACTAGCTTGCGTCTCCTACGGCTTCCACAGCATATATATGGTGCCCATGTTTCTTTACCATTTTTAAGTGCAGCTTATCCAGGTTTACTTCCCTTGTGCATGTGGCTTGTTTTTTTGCTGGCATGTGCAGTCCCCTTTGCTTTTGCTCCTTCTGATTTCTGATACCAGCTTCAGTTCCGCAGGTTTGGTACAGACGTTACACCTATCACTTTTTAAGCACCAGAAAGTGTTCTAAAGCTGTAACTGAATAGAATTTCACAGCTCTTACAGTGCTTTTACAATGGTGGATCATGCTCTAAATTAACCATCAATGGATGAGGTATTAGACTAAAGCGTTTTCTGTTAGAGCACTTTATTGAATGTCTGTGCCAAGGTTAACTTGGAGCATGATTGCCACCATCTCAGATGGCTTTATGCAGGACTGTGCTTACCTCATTTGCTCTGAGTACTGGGCTGGCCCTGCCACTTCAGCTGTCTCTGACCTGAGACAGTGATAGCCTCTGATCCCAGTTCTGCCACCTTCCTCAGGCCAGCTGTGAGCTGCAGTTGGGAGGTTGGGGGTAGAAAAGGGTTCTCTCTCCCTGCAGCAGCCTGGCCCTGTGGCATGCCACTGCCTGGTCAGGAGGGCTGCAGGGGATGGGGTCTTGGCTGTTTGTCCCTGTAGCAGCTCTGGCCCTGCAGCCCCTGATAGTCACCAGATGGGAGGGAGATTTGGGGGCTGGGGCTGGGAGAGGGCCCACTCAGGCATGTGGGAACACCCCCTGTGGCCTATGTAGGCAGGCTCTGAGCACCCCCTGCCCCAAGCTGCAAATGTCTGTTTGGTTCATTGGCGCTATAACTTATAGCACCTTAAGTAAATCATGATAGAGTGCTTGCACCAGGGGCTTTTTGAATGCCTGTAATTAGCCATTCAGTAATAAGAAGGATTGGGCTTTATGAATGCATGCAGTGAATTACTACTTCACCCTCATCTGATGTGGTGGACAGTTCCACTGTCAGTTATTTTTGAAGTGGTTGAAGTGCTTTGCACAGTTGTACACAGAAAGGCAGGCCACATAGGGCAGTGGTTCCCAACATTTTTTTTACCGCGGCCTGGCAGGAGCAGGACAGGGAGTGCAGAGCCGGCTGCCTCCCTCCCGGAGCTCCCCCGCCACCTTACTTTAACCCCAGAAGCTCAGATGTGACCCCAGAAGCCGCTCGGCCAGGTAGACAGATGGAGCTCCGAGCGGGGGGCTTGTGCCACGACCCTGTAGCCAACCCACCATGGCCTGGTACCAGGCTGCAGCCCGGTGTTTGGGAACCTCTGACATAGGGCATGTACAAACATTACATTTCAACTGGTGCAGTTCCACCAGTTGAAATGTAATGTTTGTACATGCCCTATGTGACTTGCTTTTCATACATTATGCACTATCCAAGCAGTGCCCATTTTTGAGGGATGGGTGCTCTGCACTCATTGACTATACCACCATTTCTAATCTATTATTCATTCTAAACGTACTTAATAGGATCTAAGAGTTCAAATCTTACAGGTTACTAAAAATCCTATCATGAAGTGAAAATGCTGTTCCTTAAAATCAGAGGCAATATTTTCCTTCAGATACATGTGGTGCACCTTGTCTTTTATATCTCATCTTCTCTAGCCTTTCAGAACCACTATTGATGTCAAAGGGAGATTTACACATACAAGGGGACTGGAATCCCTGATTTTAGAATTTTTCTCCAAAAGTAGGATTTTGCTCAGATTTCATTTTTTTTTTTTCAAATTAGGTTCTCTCTTAATCTTAATAATTTCTTAGGTGACCAGTGTCCCTAATCTAGTACCATACCAATGCATGTCTGTGGCTACATAATAATTTTCATGCCCCACAAACTCATATCTAGGCTTGGCAGGATTTGATTTTTATCAAGAAACACCAATAAATGGTGATTTTTGCCTAATACTCACAGACCCAGGGAAAAATATTTCTGTCAGTTATCATCAAAAGAAGAGTGTTAAGAAAAAAAAAAATTGGGATGCGGGTTAGAAAATCAGAGGCAGGAGGTGCCTTGTGCATGCACATACCAGCCATGACTAAGGTTCCTGGCTGCAGGACCCAGATGAAAATCAGGGGGTGGGCAGAAGCCAGGTCTGTGCCCTGACAGCAGAGAAAGGTCTGGCTCCCAGCCAGCCCCACTGGGGATTGGGGGAGACAACAGGGCCCAGGTTGCTCCTCTGGCACCAGTCCAGGTTGGCAGAGGACAAGCTGGACCCCAGGTGGGTATGCAGGTGAAACCTGCCTGCTGTAGTGGGGGCTCACCAGGAGGAGGCAGGGGAAGGGCCTCACCCACTCAGGGGCTCCTCTAGTCCCTGGATAGATGCAAGCACACACACAAACACAGACACATGCATGCAGACATGCACGTGCACACACACATGGGCCAAACTCCCACAGAGCCATGGCTGACAGCAGTGGACCCCCAACAGCTCTGCCCCTCCAACCCCCACTTCTAGCACAGCCTTACATGGCCTCCAGCTCTTCCAGCAGCTGCCTGAGGTGCTGCCAAAGAAGCAGTGTGTGGGAAGTGTCACCAGGTTCTCCCCACCTTGCCTAAAAATTTAAATAGATAAAAATAGAAATAAATGCTTTAAAATAACCATCTATTTTAACCATCATTTTTTTAAATTGAATTTTGCCAAACCTACCCATATCCCCTGTGTGCAACATCTTCACAGACCAATGGAAACAGGATTCAGAGTTCTGTGTTTTGTGAACTGCAGTCAAAACACGGTGCCTTTTATCAACTGTTGTAAACTTTGTGTGTGACCTTTCCCATGGGTAGGTCTCAGGAGGAGGCTGGAGTCACGGGAGCCCAATCAGTCCTTGTTCATGAACTACCAATAGACTACAGGCATCCAACTGGCTGGTGAACCATTCTTCCCTATCATCCCATTTTCTTTCACTCTGTCTCCCTTCAGGGCACATGGCTGGAATTTTGCCAACACAGGTGCCTTTGCTCTTTTTGCTTTTACATGCTTGACTTATTCCAGTCCTTTGCTAATGTGGCTGCTCCAAGCAAGCTGCAAATCACTGGTAATCCTAGAGGCCACATTTAATTCTGCAGATATAGTGTGAGACTTCAAAGCATTCTGATCCTGACCACCTCCATACCTTTCAGTGGCACTGTGGCCTTTTAGCAACCTTTCAAGCAGCTAGCAATATATTTGGCAAACTTGAAAGTGCCATTTGTGCCTTCCTGGGGAACAATCTCCATGTCCTTTTACCTACTGAGTAGGAATCATGTCCCTTAATTCTCTGTGTGACTTACTGCAGCCTCTTCCTTTTTTAGAACTTTAACACTGAAGGAAAACTCACTAGGTGAAATTACATTTGGTTAAAAGAAGAAGCCCAGGAATTCACTTGATTGAAAATTACTGCCCTATTGATTGCAGAAGGAAAGCAAGTTATTGCTTCCTGTGTATACAAATGTATCTACAGCTGGCTCAAATGAATGAAATCGGTATGTATTTAACATTTGACAAGTGCTATATTGGTCATGGCATGTCAGCAACTACAACAGGTTGTGTGACTCACAGACTGGGAAGGGTTTTAAAATCTAAAGCAGAAGATTAGGTGTATTTGCAAGGTAGAATGCAATAAAAGAATACATTTCTCCGTGCACCAGAGGAAGGGGCTCAAAACACCCTCTCCTGAGGAATTCTACTGCATATCAGTGAAGGTAAAGTGGATATAAGAAAAATGCCATGTGTTTGGAGAGCATTAGGAAAGGTCATATATTTCAAGGAAGAATATTGTTTACAAGGAGTGTTAATAGGTTTCAGGGGAAATGTTAATTTTTTTTTTTCCTGGCTGAAATAGCTACTGTAAGTTTTTAATGGTTAATCATTCATTCTTGAATTTTTATATTAAGCATTTCATATTACTTTATTGACTTAACTTTTATGCTCTTCTTCATTTTGACAGTAAAGAATGACCAGGCAATACTCTTTGAAAATTGGAGACCATTTGCAGCTGCTCTCTGCTGAGGAAAGTGAATAATAGGGTGCCCTCAAGGAATTTCAAAGGTATCACTCAACAGAAACTTTTGTGTCTGAAGAAAACTAGATCATTTTATCATGGTAGGCATACTGATATGTTTGCTTTAATAAAATGCCATATTTCTGCCTTTAATCTCTTGTCAACCAGCTATTAAAACCCCAAAGTGTATGCGTGCCTCACATGTAAACACTTGTGGTTTTGAGTTTGCCACAGAACATACTAATAAAGCCTGTAATTTGTGCTTTGTGAACAGCCTATCATAATTTATTGAGTAATGGAAAGAGGCAAAGAAAGTTTTATTTTTTTTCTCCCCTTTCTTAAGTCAACCCAGTAAGCTAATTTGATTTAATTATTGCCCCATGCAAATGGTTTTAAAAAAAGAAAATTGCCTACAAAAACCTATAGACTACTATGAAATGAAAATCTTGGAAACTATGGTTACGTATTACAAAAAATAGAGATATTTGCATTGAACATTAGTAGTGAAAAGATAACTATTTATAAGTAGACTTTATGGGCCCAGTTTTTTTTTCACATCAGGCCTCCATAATTTTGTACCTGCAATAAATAGTACCTGCAGGGAACTGTCTTTGTATTTTATGCCCTTCACTTACTTAACTTAATTGTTGGCTCAGAAGTATGCCCACAAAGACTGAAGTTTGGTTTATGAGTTGGTGTTTATTTTTTCTGTATGGTGATTTTTGTGGGCCACACCTTCAATGTCTTATCATGATTAATTAAAGAAAATATGACTGAAATCAGTGGAGGATTGCCTGAAGATAAACAGCAACAGGACTAGAGGATTTAATGATGATAATAATAATAGTAATAACATTTTATAAATAACTTCATAAAGTGTCTCCCTCTTGCCAATGTTGTTGGTTGTAGCCATGTCGGTCTAAGGACACAGGCATGCAAGGTTCTTTGGGTGAATCTGATATCTTTTAATTAGACCAGCTAAATAGTTGGAAAAAATGTTCTTTGAAAGCTTTTCGACACAAATCCTTCTTTAGTAATAGGGAGACTCTGCTAGTGTTTTGTGTTCTCCGAGGTAGAAAAGAAGCTAATATGCAATATGCAGGTCTGTGAAAATGCAAAGGGTCGGTATATGGCCCTGCCCCTCTTTACCATTTTGTATTTTAGATAACTGTCACATTAGCTATTACTCATCTTTTCTCCAGACTAAATAATAATAAACTTTCCCCCCTGTCCTATAAATTACATTTTTCAATACCTCTAATCATTTTGTACCCTTTCAATGGATCTTTCTATTTCTGAGACTTTCTTATTAAGATGGAATAATTTAAAATGAACCCAGTATTCAAAATAAAGGAGAATCTTCAATTTGAATAACTGTATTATTACATTTTCATTATTATTATTCATTATATCATCCTTACCAAAACCTAGTGTCTTGTTTGCCTTTGTGACTGCAGCTACTCATTAATAAGATATTTTCAATTAGCTGTCCACGGATTTTTTTCCCCTCAGTGGTTTCAGTGTTGTAGGTTTTTTCCTGAGTGGAGAGAACTAATTTAAAGTCATCCATGTGTATGAGTAATTCAAATTTTTCCTTCCAGTGGGCATTACCTTTCACTTTACTGTGTTGAATTTAATCTGCCATCATGGTGCCCAATTGTCTAACGGTTAAGTTACAGATAATTTTTAGTTTTTAACAACCAAAATAATTTACCATTCTCCATAGATTTTTTCTACCTAATGATTTAGCTCCTTATCCATATAAATAAATATATTTTTTTAAAAGGACTCATTCAGGCACCCACTTCTAAACTGACCATATATTTTCACTTGTAACCAGTTTCTAAATAACTAAAGGACTTTCCTTCTAATCTGTCAATGCTTAGTTTCCTTGGCCTCTTGAAATAAGCTTTATCAAAGCTGTTTGTTCAATTTTAATATATCTCTCGATGCCAGCTCTTTTCTTCATAGATCTTTTGACTCTGTGAAGTAATTCTAATGCATTGGAGAGCCACAATTTTCCTTTATGTAAGTGATGTTCAATCCCATGTTTTATAGCTCTTCCTGTGATTTTTTTTTCCACCTTATTTAACTGCCTATCCTAATTTTAAGGACCACAGTTTTGGTCCTTAGGGTCACATTTTATATGAGTGCTGAATTTTGTTATGCTTTGTCAGAATCCAACCTGTCAATAAACTCTTTTTAAAAAAAAAATATAGACACGGTTTATAACATCTAAAATATCTTTACTAATTTGCTTCTGACTATCCATGAACTGTAGTATTTGGCTGTTCATTATGTGTGGCATCACTTTATTATTTATTAATCCTTTATAAACTTACCACAAGTGTCTCTTGGTCACATTTTAATTCATACCTTATCCACTGTTGGTAAAGGTTTCAAGAGCTCTTAAATTTACTTAGAAATTAAGGTTAGGGACAGACATTACATATAAACCAGTTTAAGTGATCAGAAACTAATTGATTTAAAACTGTAACAGAACATAAGTTCAGTGCCTATAAACCAGTTTCAAAATGGCTGAAACTGGTTTAAGATAAACCTGGCTGAGTGTAGCATCAGACTTAACTGATTTGGGTCAAACCAATTTATGAAACTTCTGTCCCAGAACCCTTCCTGGTTTAAGTTAAACCAGAGTCCCCCAGCATTCCAGATGCTTTGCAGCCCTGGGCTGGGCTGGGCTGGATGGGGCTGTCTATTCCAGAGAGTGGGGCTACCCCTGCCCCTCTCCTCCATAGCTACAAGGAGTTGGGAGACTGCAGGCACAGCAGCATCTGCCTGGCTTCCCCCTGCCCCCCCCCACTTTGCTACTCACTGTTCATGCAGGAATTCCCCCCCCCCCATTCCCTCTCCTCTTCCTCTGCAAGGACCCCAGTGGCATTGACTCTAGAAGCCATAAGGTATTTTAGCTAATGCTGAGAGGTGTGTGTCTCCAATTTCACTGAGACAGGACAAATGCAGACAGGACAGGAGCTTTTGGAGCTAATCAACAGGTCAGCTGGTAATATCTCTCCATTCCTTCCTTGGAAAAAGCTGTTTAAGAAGAGCTTGAACTAATGAGAGGCTTTTGTTTATTTGATGGGCTGATAAACGTTGTGCTATCAGAACCCTGCTGGCTTGCTTGCCTGTCAGTTTGCTGTAGACAATATGAAGAAGCAGGGAGAGGGAGACTGAAAAGCTCAGTATCATTAACAGATGCATATACTGCACAACCACCTTTGCCTCAGAATGCTAGCTGTGGGGTCTGGGGTCTGGCAACATTCCCACCCTTTGAGCAGTAAATAGGGAAAAGCTTGGGATTGTGCAGGCAGGGTGGGGGTTTACACCCCTCCCTAATCAGAGTGTCTTACTAGGGCTTGGCCATGCCCCCCCCACCATCTCAGCACTAAGGAAGGGAAGGGGGGGTGCTGCTTTAGCACTCCCCACCTTCTAGCCTGAGCCACTGCAAGCATGTGTCTGCATTTCTTGATTTAAAAAATGAATGTCTATCCACCTCCAAACCAGTTCAAGCTCTGCAGGTTAGACTAACCTGCAAAGATAGAATCAATTTAGGCTCAGGTTTTTCAAATGTCTGTCCCTAGCCCATGGGGTACATGCAGACATTCAGAAAGCAGGGAGGAGAACTCATCTAACTTATACATTTTACTTTGAGTAACCTGAGTTTAAACCAGAAGTGCACAGTACATGTTTGCCTTCGTGGGGAGAGGGTGCACAGGCAGCCTGTGCTGGTGGAGACCCAGTTGGGGGACATTTATGCATGCATCCAACCAAGTTCTCCAGACTCCCTGGGCTGCTGGATGCTGCCAGGCACAGCCTAGTACCAGTGACTCTCCAGATTGGCTACCTGGCATGGAGAACCACACCCTCAACCCCCACTCTCTCACAGTGACCCCCCACCTGCCTCACCCACAGGCTTCCAGAAGGGACCCAGAGTTACTACCCTGTCTTGTTAATTGCGCATGTCAGCTTCCTGGCCTGCCTACACCCCCACCATAACACCCTACCACATGCGCCCAAACCCATAGACCCAGAAGATGGAGCATGTCCTTCTTCTCACCCTATGCAACGATCACTGTAAGCTGTAGGACATCATGTGCACCCATCTGGAAGTGGCCCAGCAGTTAGTCATGATGGGATGTGCCTTCCTGTCTAGGAGCCAGCAGCCAGCTGTCCCATGTCGTGCCGCCTACTGCATCCTGGACTAGGCCAGTGACTTCCACGTGGCCGAAGAGGAGGAGGCCATCAATGACACCACAGACTCCAGGGTGCTCTGACACCATCTCCAAATTGTCAAGCAGCAGTCCTGGGCCTGCACCACCGGCAGCAACTTGTGGGCTCAGATCATTCTGGGCACTTGGCATAATGAACAGTGGGTCTGGAACTTTCACATGTACCCAACCACCTTCATGAACTTCATTTCTCAGCAGACCCCGGCATCAAGTAAACCCTCACTCCAGAGAAGTAGGTTGCCATTGCCATCTGGAAGCTGGCCACCCCTTACAACATCCACTCCGTTGGCAACCACATTAGTATTGTCAAATCCACAGCTAGAGAGGCCACCTGGGAGGTGTGCCTGCACATCCAGAATGTAATGACTAACTGCTTAATTTGCCTCAACCCACAAGAAATGGTTGCCGGCTTCTGCCCCATGGGCTTTCCCAACTATGTCTGGGCTTGTGGATGGCACCAAGCTCCCCATCCTTTGCCTTCCCCAAGGCACCCAGGAGTTCATCAGCTGGAAGGGTTTCTTCTCTATCCCTGGCTGAGTGAAGTGGCCTTCATGGTTGACAATACCTGGGTCTTCCACAGCTCCACTTTCTCCCAGATAATGGAGAACTGGTGCTATGGCCCTGGGGTCTCAAACTTTGAAGTTGATGGTGTCCTCATCCCACCCCTCATAATTGGGGACCCAGCCTATTCTCTTCTGCCTTAGTTCATGAAGCCCTACAGGGGACATCTGGACTCATGGAAAGAGCGAGCTTGGCAGAGGGGAATTTCTTTCTGGTTCTGGATGTAATGCAACTCCAGTGGTTCTGAACAGTGGTTGTTTTCACTTGTCCTTAACCACCCCATCCTATCTGCCACCTAGCCCTGAAGCACTGTGGAGTGGGGCAGGGTGCAGGACCTCGACACTTGTAACTGTTTCTTACATTTTATCCACAGAGTAAATTAATTTTTTTAGTGCTTTTACATGAGTCAAAAGGGCAGGGGGCAGAATGCCCTGCAGCTTAGGGATGGGCAAGGAAGCCTGGTTCCATGCCAAATGCTCTGAGTAGGTGGAGGGGTGGTCAGCTACGCTCATTAGCTGAGAATGGGCCTGAGAGATAAGGAAAGCAATGTGACTATTGCAGATTTATGCTACCACATGTCTAAAGATGGGCTGTCAACCACCTATTGCTGGTTGAGGATTGGGGTGAGGGCTGATGCTCATAGTGGGGGTACCCATGAAATGGAGGGCCCAGCATTGGGGTCCAGGTCTAGAGTTGCAAGGAATGAGGCCAAGCCCCAGAGGTTATAGGGTCACCTTCAACCTAGTTCCAAGGTTCTGCCTCTCCCCCCCTCAACCCACCAGAAGCATACCTTCTGCATCAGCTTCTGCTTGGGGTGGGTAGGTGGATCCATCTTGGGGTCTGGGTCACAGGGTATAAAATGTGTGGTCTGTGGGACTGTGCTTGAGTCTGGAGGTGTGGAAAATCCTCACTCAGTGTGTAAATGCTGGGGTCTGGGCCTGTGGGGCTATGCCTGAATTTGGAAGTGTGGAGCTCCCTGGCTTGGTGTGTGAATGCTGGGGTCCAGGGCTGTGGATTTGGGATTTTCCTGGCCCCACAGTTTGGATCTATGTTAGATTGTGGGGTGCTTTGTGATGGGATCTTGGGGGTGTGGGTGCATGGCCCAGGGCCTCTGGTCTCCAGGGCCTGGGAAATGTGCAGAGAACAAAGCTGCCTCACTTCCCTCTGCTTCCTTTCTGTGGCTTGCAGCTAGCTGGAGGCAGGGCTGGGGCTTGGACTTCTTTGGCCCTGAGACAGCCCCAGGGGTGGGATTTGCTGGGCACTTGGCTGGTGTGGGGTGAGCACAAAGCATCCTGGGATGTTAGAGGGTAGAAATCTAACTTGAATCAATAGCGGGACAGTGCAAATCTTTGATAGATCAATCTACCTTGAATTGATCTTGACTTAGTGTACCTGAGACATGATTTATATGTAGGTTGCCTGTACTATTTTTTGCCTGATCTATGCACAGTGAGCATCTGCATACCTATGGGTTTAGATCAATCCATGTTCACTTAGGCAGATCTAAGGGTAACATCTGCACATACCAAAAGTTTTGTTGGCTTTCATTGAGACTTAAGGCATGTTTATACTGCAAACAGAGAGATTGCAAAAGTGGCAAGAGGGAGCATCCGTCTGCATGGATACACTGCCTCATTTCTGAGTTTGTTACATGTAGAACAGGAGCAGGTCAGCAGGGAGCAGTCTTCATTGGCTGGGAAGCAACTCAGACCAGAGTCGACCCTAGGGGTCTGCAGGGCCCGGGTCATATCAGGCTGTGCAGGGCCTGTGTGGAGGGGGAAGGGAGTGGTGAGCGGCCGGAGTGGGGGGTGGGTGGGGGTGGCGAGTGATCAAAACATGGAGATGACAGCCTGCGGCAGCCAGCAGAGCCTGTATGGTACTGTCTGTGGGACCCCTCAAAGCGTGGGGCCTGAAGCGGTCACCCCAATTCATGTCCCCCAAGGGATGGCTCTGGCATAGACATACCCATTGAGTCAACTTAGGCAAATTGTTTAGGCCTAGACCTCAACGATGCTTAGGTGGAAAGTGACGGGTGCCCCCTTTGAGGTTCTAGGTCTTAAACTCTCTGGGCATGTCTACATGTGGCCGTATGGTACCTTTGTTATTGCACCGTCATTTAGTACTTCCAAAAGACCCATACTGCACTGCGCTGGGCATGCATGGTTATTTTTGACCATTAAGTCACTGTAGCAACACACTATATTGAGGGAGCATGTTGCTACAGTGACATAGTGGCGGCATCATGGTTTTTGCCAATGGACACTATGGTGCCATAGCACATTGCTATGGTGCCATAGCATCTTGTGTAGATGCCCCCTGTGTGCCCTACTTTCCAATCTCTAATGTAGGAATAGAGACTCTCTCTGTAACAACCCACCTGTAGTCTGTCTTCTCTGTTTAGAGCAGGGACTCATTTTCTAAGTACTGGTATATTCAGTGCCTAGCAAAATGAGATCTTTGCTGAGACCTTTAGATGCTACCGTAGAACAGCTTTTAACCATTTCATAGTAGTCACTAATCTTTTCTCTCTCCAGATTTGCATCTTAATGTCTCAAGTCATAAGTTAAAGAAAATTTTACGGTCTCATGCTGGTCCATATTTATGCATGGACCTTGCTCGAAGCAGGCATGCAACTGGGATACCAGAGAGGGTGGTTGTGACAAGAGATGAATTGCTAAGTACCTAAGTATAAAAGAAATTCTGAAAATGGCAAGGAAACTTGTGGAGCACTAGTTCACGCTATTTCTGGCCCTTGCCATTGCTATGACCTCACTTTCATTATCAGTGCATTTACTTAAATTCTCAATAATGTAAATCTTTGCATCAGTTTTTAAATTTTAGCATAAAAAATCCTGGCAGTGCAAAAAGGACATGTCCTTTGCTTAGAGATAAAAGATATCTTCAATCTGATTAATGAAACAAGGTATACCATGTTATGACTCATATTGTGGGAGTACTTAAGAGTGCCAGGGTTCTATTGTACTGGGTGCAATATAAAGATGGAAAAAGGTATAAAAAGATGGGTTCTGCCTCCAAAGAACTTACAGTCCTAAGTATAAGACAAGCAGCAAGGTAGATGCAACAGATGCAAAGAGAAGCACAAGGGAACAATGAGACTATGCTGCTTAGCATCGAAAGCAGAGGCCACAGCAGACCAGCTGCCTAACCATCGCTCTATCCAGCAGTAAAATTTCTAGCTTCCAAAGGTAGAAAAAGAAATAGTTCTGAGGCCTCCAGCTAGTAATATCCTTCAAGTGTTCCTCCAGGGCGGAGGCTTACCTTGCAGGGTGCATTAGAGCAGAGAGAGAAAACTGTGCGTGTCATCAGCACTCTGAAACTCCACCCCATGTCTCCAAATGATCACACCAAAGAGGCTTCACAGATATCCTGCCTGGTCTTCCAACTATGACTAGAACTACTGTTACAGAGCATGCTGAGAGCTATATTTGTATTTCATTGATATTTTCTTTGATATTGATGGTTTGCATCCCATGTAAGTAAGTGTAAAATATCATGTTGAATGAAATAGTTTAGGAAGAACAAGGCTTTGGAAGTCTTAGGTGGAAAAATTGAAGTCTTGGTGAAAAGAACCACAATCTGAAGTGAAATCTGCCTGCCCACTGTTTGTTGAAAATGCAATATTTTATACATAATTCACAGACTATCTATTGACACTATTAAGGTCTGTGCTTAAGACTCTCTTAGTGAAAAATTACTGCATGTGTATGATTAGCAAGATCATTTTAGTGTAAGAACTTTTTTGTTTCTTTTACTCCTTTAAGTGATATATTTGGTCACAATAGAATCAGGAAGACAATTTTTTCTGGGGGTCAGGCTAAAAACTGGGGGTGGAGAGGAAACAATTCCCTGCTGTATCAGACATTTCCTCTATGACAAGTCACTGAGTTGCCCCGTGTCTCAGTTAACATCTGAGAAAAGGGAGGCAATTGTAATCCTCTGGCTGTTTTGAGTAGAGTGGAATGAGCCAAAACATTGGAAAAAATATTTGGTTTGGGAACCTTAATATTTTTCAGTTTCTTGATAAAGAGAGAAAAGTGAAAACAAAAATTGCTTCAGGTGAACCAAATGTTTCATTCATCCTAAAATGAAACATCTCATTTTGTTTTCAACTACTCGAAACTTTTTTTTAAGCATACTTCAATCTTTTAATCTTTTTTTTAGTGTACTTCAGAAAAGAACTTTTTTCATTTAAAAGTTTATAAAAATTGATTTGGCACTTCTTAGACAAATATTTTGGCATTTTTAAAAGAATATTTTCATTTTGTTGATAATATTAAAATAAAATATTAATATTTTCCAAAATCGTTTTCTCTGATTTGTTTTTCAACCAAAACCATTTACCAAATATAGACTAATTTTCCAAATAGTTTCAGTCCTTCAGAAACTCAATTTTTGGTGAATTTACTATTCAGCAATCAATATTATCATCAAGCTCTACTTGTGAAGGAAAATGCTTGAAAAATTGTGAGGTATTGTGGTAGCGGGGACAGTATAAGTAAGATTGATAGAATAATTAAAATCAGTGAAATAATAAATTACAATTCATTTCTGGGAATCCCTAGGCTTTAGAGGATTAAAAGGTCTAAATGTTCATGGCTTGACCACCTATCTTCAGTGTCTCAATTACCATGTGCTCAGAGTTTGGTGTTCAAGATGCCAGAGCTTATAATTGAGAGGGATGAAAGATGGCATTAAAGGATCTTTGTGCCATCTGGCTTCCAGGCTGCACCA